AAAACCCTGCCAATGTGGCCCAGTTTTTATGACTAACCCAACCCACTAGATGAGAAACCCATCGATGACATGCCATGCACTCAGCCTCAGGACTCGTGGAATCGGTTTTCATTAAAAACTGCAAGAATCCCTTCAAGGCCCTAAGTATGCTATGGAGAAGGAGCTTAGACACAGGCGAGTTTCCCCACAGTCACTAAAAACAACAGATATGCCCCACCCATAAAGGTAGCAGCAAAGCAGTAGCTAAGAACTATAGACCAATAGCTTTAACATCCCACATCATAAAAATCTTTGAAAGTTCTAAGAAGCAGGATAGCAAACCACCTGGACTCCAAAAATTGCACAACCCAGGGCAACATGGTTTCAGAGCAGGTCGCTCCTGCCTTTCGCAACTGCTAGACCACTATGATATGGTTCTAGATGCACTGGAAAACAATCAGAATGCAGATGTAGTATACACAGACTTTGCAAAAGCCTTTGACAAGTGCAACCATGGTGTAACAGCACACAAAATGCATGCTAAAGGGATAACCGGCAAAGTAGGCAGATAGATTTTCAACTTTCTAACCAATTGCACACAAAGAGTAGTGGTAAACAGTTAAATCAGATGCTGCCATAGTGAAGAGCTCTGTCCCACAAGGCACAGTACTTGCACCTATCCTGTTCCTTATTCTCATATCAGACATAGACAGATGTAAACCACAGCACTGTATCATCTATTGCAGACGATACTAGGATCTGCACGAGTATCATCCATTGAAGACACGGCAAAGCTCCAAGAAGATATAAACCAAGTTTTCCAATGGGCAACAGAGAACAATATGAAGTTCAATGAAGACAAATTCCAACTACTCCGTTATAGAAGACTGGAGGAAATAATAACTAGGACTGAGTATACTACAAACTCCAATCACACAACAGAGCAGAAAAGTAATGTGAAGGACCTGGGTGCGGTAATGTCCACAGACCTCGCCTTCAAGGACCACAACAATGCCACTATCGCACCTGCTAGGAAACTGATAAGATGGATAATGAGAACATTCAGGACAAGAGATGCTAAGCAATGATGATCCTTTTTGAATCACTTATGTATTCTCTCCAGGCTGGAATACTGCTGTACATTAACATCCCCATTCAAGGCAGGTGAAATTGCAGAACTAGAGAATGTACAGAGAACCTTTACTGCACGTTTAAGTTCCATCAAACACCTTAACTACTGGGAGCGCCTGTAAGCACTTGACTTGTACTCACTAGAGCGCAGGCGAGAGATACATCATAATCTACACCTGAAAGATTCTGGAGGGACTGGTCCCTAATATGCACACAGCAATCACTCCATACGAAAGCACAAGACTTGGCAGGCGATGCAACATACCCCCAGTGAAAAGTAGGGGCATCACTGGTACACCAAGAGAAAATGCAATAAGTGTCCAGGGTCCAAGACTGTTCAACAGCCTCCCACCAGCAATAAGGGGCATTACGGGAAGACCCCTGGTTGTCTTCAAGTGGGAGCTGGACAGATACCTAAAGACGGTACTGGATCAGCCGGACTGTGGTTCGTACGTTGGATTGCGTGCAGCCAGCAGTAACAGCCTCGTTGATCAGGCCCTGATCCACCGGGAGGCCTGGTCGTGGACCGGGCCACGGGGGCGTTTATCCCCGGAATGCCCTCCAGGTAATCTCTCTTGCCAGCATTCCAGTGAGGAGTACAAGTCAAGTGCTTCGAAGCATTCCCCGTTTTAAAGGGGTTTTTGATGGAATTATATGGCAGAAACGGTTCTTGTAATTTCTGATCTCCCTTACCTACCCTTTGTTCTTTACTATCCCACCCCCCCTATACTGTATATTTTTGCATTACAGATTTATAAAAGATCATTTTCTTTTAGTCTGATTACCAAAGTCCCATAATTTAAATAAAAAATGCCTTTCCCATAGCGTTTCTGTAACCCCCCCCCCCCCCCCAAAAAACCCCCTATGGCCGGAAAAGGTTTGAAAAAAAAATGGCCTTTTCCCCCAAACGCCTATCGGAAAGCTGTACTCACCTGACGCAACACTAGTCAAGGTAATTTAATTCCTAAACCAGAGATCAAAGCTATCAGAATATTTGGGAAAAAAAAGAGCTTAGAAAAAAAAAAAAAAAAAAAAAAAAAAAAAAAAAAAAAAAAAAAAAAAAATGGAGCCTCTGGGGAAAAATTCATTCTCTAAAATGTTTTTATACAACAGTAATGACATTGATATTATATTTATCAGTTAGAAAGTGGAAAAATTTGGGAACCTAGGTCAAAAAAAAATGCCCCCTTGAACCCCCACTGTCATTTCCCCAGTTGCTTGGCCATTTTAAATGAAATACCATACCAGGAATGTGGTAAATATATAAAATTTGTGGACTGTATTTTAAATTAAAAAATGTTTATATATAAATACATCATTTACATAACGGGGAAAAATATCTTATATCACTCACAATTTATGGAGTTTGTATCATATCAAAAAAACCTCATGTTTACATAAAAATAAAATGGCCGGTTATAACAAAACGATTATTGAGGTTTCCCTGGAGCTGCCCCGTCTGTCGCTGATATCTAAAGTTATGCAGGAATGCACTCCAACAATTTCCCCCTCCTATTTAAAGGGTGTCCCAATTTTAAATCTAGAGACGAAAAATTTTCCCATTAACAAAACGTTTACTTACTCATTAAAAACCAAAATGGCGACTCTCCTTTTTTTAAAAATACTTTTATTAAATACAATTGGCATTATTTACCTATAAATTCCCGTATTTCCAAAAATTTTTCGTTTTTTCCCCACGCCTGGACAAATTCAGCAGAAGACCCCTGCCCAAAAAATTTACGGGCCCACTCGCCTAACGTGCCCCAAAAATGTGTGGGTGGGGGGAGGCTGACATATACAAAATATCCCCCTACCCCCATGTAGTGGCTAAAAAGATTGGTGTAAAAAAAATCGTGGGGAAACAGAGGAGCATGGTATTTAGAGCCTACATCAAATCCCTGAAACTTGGCTTTTCAACTAATGTAGGTTTTTTATTACCCCCAAAACCCCCCGCCCACAAGCACACACACAAATTGCACCAAAAAAACAAAAAAA